ATTAAAACTAATGTACATTATTTTAAGAACTACACATGGACGGACCTTTGGATAATATAAGTAAAAATAAATAAAAATAAAAATAAAAATTCCTCTTATTTAATTCTGACAATATAAATAATTAGAACAAAGGAAAAAAAAAGTAGTGTAAAAATAAATATTAATAAAAATAAAATAAAATAAAAGAACAGGGACAAATTTCATACTTCTTAAATACATTTAAGTACAATATAAATTCAGATGTTTATGAATATGTCCAAATATTTACACATCACATCCTCTCCGGCCTCTGCACATGCGGAGAATGGGATCATTATATGATACATTGTTCGCAGTGCATGGTAGAGAAAAGGTGTTTTGTGTACGTTTACTACCGATCTTGAACGAGATGTGGCCTAAGAGCTCACCTGAGTCCACCCATGAGTTGATTATTTTAAAAAGAGTGGAATAATCAAGAATTACACGTCTGGACTGAAGAGAATCTACGTTAAAATATTTGAGTCTTGCCTCATACGTGTCCAATCTCTTGCGCATTCCGAACTGCGTGGTCAAGTTGCGGAGAAACCGTCTTTGGACATTTTCAATTGCATCATATATAAACTATATATATATATATATATAAACTACTTCAATTTCAACTTACTTAATAAATTATTAAAGCATAAAACCACCTCTATTTTACATTATAGCAGCCTGAAAATTATAGCAGCTCCGATAGCTTAACTAGTTCACAAAATTCCGTAAAAATATCCGGCTCAAAAATTCACCGTGTCCAGCTGAATTCATTTAACCGCGTGTTTTTGCTTTTATTCCGTGTTTGCATCACTAACACGATGTATTTACGAACAGTGGGTATAGTTAGGTGTATAACTTAAGTAGGACTTACTTTACATTTTAAATATTGTTGTTTATGCAACTTGAAATGCACGCTAGGTCTATTTCCGTTTTGCATTTGTTTTTCTGTAGCCATTATTTTAACACGTTAGGTTAATGTTTTTAGATTATTCGGTCGCGATAAAATAGTGTTTATTTTTGTAATACCAAATAATGGGACGAACAAGTCCTTCGCGTAGTATAGAGCGACATGCATGTCCATAGCAGTTTCAATGGGATTCGGAGCTTTAAATCGCAAAGGGGCACTGCCACTGCGCCTGTCATCTTGAGACACACGACTTGTTTGTCGCGTCACTTGATATTATAAAAAAAAAAACAGTTAACAAGTTCAATGTGTCTGAAATTTCACCTGCACCCTTACCCTTCAAAACTGGAACGCAGTAATGCTCACATTACTGCTTGGCGGCAGAAATAGGTAAGGTGACAGTATTTTTCTGGACGAACTTTTTCACAACGAGCTCTACTGTTACTAAAATGTATTATTGACATATGATTTACCTAAATGGCATTTCATCCATAAGTTAATGAAATTGACATGAACAGACGCATAAACATTATGAAAACTAAATCTAAATAAGTTTGAATATCAACATGACTCTTATTATAGAATCGTATGCATTGTTCTTTAAATTAATATGTTTAACATTTAACGACTGACAAGAATTGTTCGTTTATTTTCGATACTCATGTTAACAATGCCTATTATTAGTCTTTGTGAAAAAAAATTATTTAGTCTTCTTATCAAAAATTACATACTCGTAAATGTATAGAGACGCTGGTATAACAATGTTAATTTCTTTAAACTCTCAGGGACATTTTGGGGTTCATTTTGTAAATTACCTTAACAGTAGTCATTAATAAATTGCCCTGAGTTTCTGCGGCATTTCCCCAAAGCAAAATACCGTATGCCGTCATACTGTGAAAACAATTTATAACAGTAGAGCACCTTGTTCTGCCATTGAGCGGTAATGTGAGCGTTACTGTGATTCGATTTTTAAAGGTGCTGGTGAAATTACAGGCACGTGCGATTTGTTAACTTATGTGTCCGGATGACGGGCGCAGAGGCACTGCCTCTTAAATCTTTTTGCGATTTTCTAGAAGCTCTGAGCGGCACTGCAACTGCTATGGACAGGCGCGTCGCTTATCATCAGGTACACTACTTGTTCGTCGAGTCACTAAGTATCATAAAAATAAAAATAAAATTAAACTTAAACATATCTAAGTGACCTAACTATGATGCAACTTGCAAAATATAGATTTAAAAAATATGATGAAATATGAAAAAAAAACCACAAAACTGAATTTAAAAAAAATTACGCACAAAACAAACAAAAATATTAATTGAAATATGTATTATTCTATACTCGTAATTTGCAGATACCAATACTACTGTTATAACCAATGTTTCAATTAACTTTGAAATAGCTCTGTTCACGGCGTCATAAGTACATAAGTGCCTTTTAAATTTAAGTAATAATGAAGCATCACCACCAAACCGTAGACGTTAGATAGTATTATCTCATGTCTGAAACTTTCACAAGGACAAGGAATTCATAAATATAAATTAAAAATATTAATCGACCTAGAATTAAACCTTGACAGACGCCTCGTACTGTTGACTGTATCACTCAAATACGATATAAGAAGGGCGAGGTCACGGCCATACATTAGGCAAAGTTTCCTGGCGAATGTATCATGGTGCACAAAATGCATTGGAAAGGTTACGATACACTTCTCATTATGTCGCGAGTTTTGCGTTCCATCAATTATATGTTTGGTCAACTCATCATTTAGGTTTTGGTTAAAAATATTTTTTTAAATACTACATTGCAAGTTGGTAGTGTTAGTATATTAGTATAGTTTGTATATTAGTAGCAGTAGAGTCTCCCGTGAAAGAGTTTGTCCAGGGAAATACTACCACCTTACCTATTTATGCTGTCAGCAGTAAAATGAGCATTGCATTATTGCGTTCTGGTTTTGAAGGAAGGGTGCCGGTTAAATTACAGGCACATGGGATTTGTCAACCAATGTTTTAGGGTGTCGGGTGCAGTGGCAGTGCCCCTTAGATCTTTGTGATTTAAAGCTCTGAGTGGCACTACAACAGTTATGGACAGGCATGACGCTTACCACCAGGCGCACGATTTGTTCATCCCATCACTTGATATCATAAGAAAAAATTGAAATACAAATAAAATTTGTAGGATTCACTACCAGATTTAATAAACGGACAAACGTTGCTCTGCTTTATGAGGCCAAGAAACGCCCAGTATCGACACATACATATGTATATTAAAAATACATGTTAAGTGGGCAAGGAGCGTTACAATCAATTACAGAATTAATTACTTTGACCGAAAGACCATCAAGATCAGCAATATCTTTTATTTCTATTGATTTGAAGGTTTTAACAAAGACTCTTGGGTGTCTACGACGAAACTTTAAATTAACAAGACCAATATTTTCTTTCAATAAGGAGTCACTCACTGCTGTGGGAGGGAAATTAACGCCTTGGCAGTCGAAGTTTTAACGTCTATGAAAAATTTGCTGCTTTTACAAATTGATCTGAATAATTTAATTGGTTTTTATGATTGTTATTTAAAAATCTACGTGTTGTCGCTACATTTTTACTTACCATCGTTAATTGGTTAAGGTTATTGCAGCACAGCTATTTTTTTAATAACTCTTGTAATAGAAGTTTGTACTTAGTTTAGGAATTAACTTAAACGAGATATAACTTAAAAATAGTTATTTAAATGATCACTGTACGGCTTAAACATGTTCAAATTTGTATTGTTTTAAGTAATTTATAGTGTATTTGTAGTATTTAGTGTAAGTGTTATATGTTCTGTTTATTTCAGCCAAAAGACGTCCACTGCTGAACATAGGGCTCCCCTAAAGAATGCCGTAACGACCTGTCCTGCGCCGCTTGCATCCATCGGATTCCCGCAGCCTTCACCAGATCATGGTCTCCTCACGCTGCGTATTCCGGTACGCGGTGGCCACTCAAGAACTCTTCGGCCCCATCGGCCATCTGTTCTGCGAGTACTGTACCCTGCCCACTGCCACTTAAGTTTTGCAATTCTTTGGGCTATGTTCGTTACTCTGGTTCTCTTGCGTTTACCCTCACTACTAATTCGATTTCGCAACGAAACTCCGAGCATAGCCTTTTCTATTGCCTTTTAGTGACCTTGAACTTTCTCCTCCTCAACGTGGTCGACGTGGACGTGGTCGCGACCACGTCTCAGTGCCATGAGTCACCATCATTTAAAGAAATAAATTTTTATTATTCCAAACAGTATTTTAAAGCCTAATAAGTATTTTACGCTTAAAATCATCTTTGAAAAGCATCTATTCGAATTGGGCAAGTTAAGATGACACGACGAACGCAGATGGTGTAACTTGCTGTCTCGCACAGTTTATGGCCAATTTCCGACGGTTTTTTGTGCCATTGGATTACGGACCTAAATGGTAAGAAAATGAATAAGTGAATTAAAATTTATATTACATTTTGGAGTCTTTTGTTAGTAAATTACCGATATAACTACCATTTTTTTAGTTTTTTTTAGTTTCACAGTTTTACTTCTATCAAATCTCGGCACATAGATTATTGCTAAGTAATTGTACTAACACATTTCGTATACGTATTCTAAATATAGAGAAGAGTACAAACTCACAAAACAGGTAAGTACGTCATTTTCTGTTCGCATACACTATTATATTACAGGTTTTGAGATGGGCGAGTGCAATCATCTCTTCGTTAGGTTTCAACTTGACGAAAGGTCTCATTTTCCGACAAGCGAGGTTCTTATTGATGGTACGATTACGCGAGGTTCTTATCGACGATACGATTGGTGATACGTATATTACGAATACTTATGATATCACTAGAGAGGCCTCTTCTTGTAATTTAAAAGAAAATAAAATGACTTGACATGAGTCTACTCGGCCTGTGTAACAAGAAAAGCTTCTACAAGAAAAGAAAGGTCATAGTCATATGTTATATTATGCGGTATATCAGGGTGTTGCTTTTAAACAAAAGTTTTTGCATGGATTCGTCAAAATGTTTTTGTTTTTACACTTTAAAGAAAAAATATTTTATAACTCACCTTTTATCTATTTTTAATTTCTTGTGGACTTTTTTTGGCTTAAACCTGAATTTACCTGGAACTCGTAAAAGCAAGATTTAATCAGAAATTGAGTAAAATAAGTGAACTTAATTTCGATGACATTAAACACGCGTACTTTTTTAACAAAATGAAATATATTTCGGTAGTAGTAGAGCTCCTTGTGTCAAAAGTTCGTACTAAAAGGAAAGTACTGCCACCTTACCTATTTCTGCCGTTAAGTAATAATGTGAGCATTGCTGGGTTTCGGTTTGTTTGGTTTGTGAAATTATAGTCACATGGGACTTGTCATTTTTTTTGACAAGTGTCATTTTTTTTAATAATACCAAGTGACGGGACCTTAGAGGATGGAAAAAAATAAAAGAAAGGAGCTGCCCTAAGTACAGAATCAACGTGCATATTACCAAAATTTGAAAGTTACAAATGGCGGATTTCTTTAGTGTTGTACCATAATCTATCGATAAGTCATTATCGACATGCAAATGTATGGCTTGAATTTTTGTTTCTTTAGTTTACTGTAACCAAAGTATGCCTAAACAAACACAAGTCTGATAATTTAATCTCGAGTGGTATATTATTATAAATGTCAACACACATTTTGAAACTTCAAAAAAAATTTATTTTCAACATTACAACTGGTAACTTATTTAGTAAAAGTCACCAAACTGCTGTGCAGTTTGTTGGCGACATGCGCATTCTTGCTTAATTATACCTACTTTACTTGTATTTAACATTACGTAGTATTAATTGTACTTACTAAATAAAATATAAAAATTACTTTAAGAGGTACGCCTTTAACCTACATTTTAGTACATATTTACATAACGTAAACCAATAAACCTAAATAAATAAACCTAATACCAATAAACCTAATGATGGAATAGCATTGTCATGTAATCTAGTTACATTTAAAGTTCTGTTAAAATTTGACTCTTCAAAATGAAGCGAACAAATGAAGATGGTTTTTGATCCAACGTTTATATTCGGCAGTCCTATGATTTCCAACCATTCTTTCTTCCTTTTTTCATTTGTAGGAAAACTTGAAATAATAATAATAAAACAATAAAAACCTCATAGTGAATTGTTTTAATAACAGAATATCGATAATATGTATGCTTACAAGATCAACACTATCTCAAAATAATCGTTAACAACAATCATCAAAATATACAAACAAACAGGCAATCTAAAGTAACAAAAGCAAAATTTGGCAAGATTTATAAATAAACTACTTAAATAAGTCTAATTACATAAAATATTCGGGCTATTGTGTGATTTATAGACAAAAAAATAACACATGCCTGTGCAATGTAACATTCGATTGATTTGCAGTTTTTCTAAAGCCGCATCCTTTAATGCTGCAGCGTCGCATTTTTATTAATACCTAATTATTCTCACTGTCAATATTTTTGTCCAATTTAATTATAATACATGTGAATAATTCAATAATACATTTGGAAAAACATTTGTTTTGACATTTGATGTACTTCCCTTTGACAACGGTATCATGTACCTCATGTACTTGAAATGGCCACGGTTGGCATTTAAAATGACGTTACGAATTTTCGATTCCCGTGTTTGACACAGACCAATGTAATGCTATCTCTTTTGGCTTAAGACGGCACGTAATAGTTAAACAAAGACAATAATATGTTTATGTTTTCGACGACGAAATGCATCATATACATATAACGTCTGATTTATATATGTCAACGTAACATGTCCTTTAGTTTCCATAGTCTAAGGACGGGACGAACAAGTGTTGAGCCTGGCGGCAAGCGACACGCCTAACCATAACAGTTGCAGTGTCACTCATAGCTTATAATAGCAAAGATCTGAGACGTACGTTCAGTAGCAGTAGAAATTTAAAATATTTCACTGCGAGTTGTTTAGAAAAGAAAAACTCTTCCACAAGGAGCTCTACTGCTTCTAATATACTAACTATACTAACACTAACAGTGAAATATTTTAAATTTCCACTGCCACTTACATCTCAGATCTTTACGATTTTAAACTTTGAGCAGCACTGCAACTGATATGGATAGGCGTGTCGCTTACCACCAGGCGCACGACATGTTCATCCTATGACTTGGTATCATAAAGAAGTTCACTGAGATAATCAGTATTATACAAATAAGAAACCAGTTAACAGTCAACCTCTGTACTATACAACGTCAGGGTGGGAATTAATCCAATCGATTTAAGTATCGCATTTATATCTGAATGCAAACAAAAATAGACATACCGTTTAGACAAATCACGTAGATAGAACTGACATTTAGAAAATGATTTACAGCTTGGAACATTTCAGATTTTTTAGGATTTTTAATTCCCTCTTTCAAATGTTTGTAATGCAAGTATACTTCAAGTGTAAGGTCAACTCTGAACATCGAACTAAATAATCCGTAAGAAGAACTTGAATATTCCTCAAATAGAATCTAAACAAAGATGTAGTTTTTTAACCGACTTTAAAAAAGAAGGAGGAGACATGATTACTCCGACATTTATGAACCGATTTGTACGTTTCTTTTTTTTTGTTGAAAAGTGGGTACTTCAGTAGTGGTTTCGTTGAAATTTGAAGAAAATATTCTCAGAATGGCAAATTAGGGGATGAATCCGATTTTTTGAATTTCACCCACTTTCCCTAAACCGATTTCAATAAAACTAAATCTAATACCAATGAAGATAAAACATTGCGAAAACGGATAAGAAAACTTTTGAAGTCGGTTTTTTTTAATAGAAAAGTTATTAAGAGTAGAACTCTAAGAGCGCTTACATATGGCGACTTTTAGAAATGATGCGAACGCGATGCAGTCGCTAATCGTCTACCTTTACACACATGCGCGATTTTAAGCAGCGATGCATCGCCTATAAATCGGAAGTATAGTGATGCAATAGCGCGTTTCACGAACGCGCGTTTCCATCGCTGCTAAATGTCGCCGTGTCTGTTAATGTGCCACTCTAAAGTTGGTGTCATAAAGCCACATGTAATCATACGTCAAAGCTTTTATCATATCAAGTCATAAAAATAATACAAACAACATAAAACAAATTATATATATGTGATTATGTGATTTTATAACTCTCCTATATAAACATAAAAAAGTTATCGGCTAATTTCTTTCGTTGAATCTTTAAGCCTCTCTTCTGAAAAGTTGTCATTTTGCAGATGTGGTCTTATTAAACCAAAGGTGCGAAGTTTTCGATCTTCCGTTTGCTCAATTTATGGTGCTATGTTTATGGCTTGTGAAATAATGAATTTTTACACCGTAGTACCTATCTCCGTTAACATTATTTAATGTGCGAGATTACGGTATCGATTGTCGCGAGCCCAGTGGAGCGACTATATCGTGTCAAATTGCACATTAACAACTCCAATTGATAAGCAAACTGACGTCATTCGCACAGCGGTTAATTTTAGGTCAAATTTAACGAGTGTGTGTATTGAAATTAACATGAACAAATCTATATAGAAGGGTTAATGAAGATAAATGGTTATGTGAACGCTTGTCAATCACAGCGTACTGTTAGGCGTTGTTGGGATCAATAAATGTATACCAATAATACAATATATCAGAAATGTATATGATTAATTGGTAAAGCCGCTATTGTGTAACACGAAAAACATTTTGTATTTATTAATTTTTAGTTTAAAGAGTTGGCTACGCCAGCACGCTACTTCAAAACTGCTACGATATGCTACGAGTCTACGAAATTTTTTGTAAAACTGTGCTGTGGAAAATTTCGACAGAAATAATTTTTCCATTATTATTTATTCATTACAATATACCCATAATTTTTTTTTATACCAAGTGACGAACAAGTCTGGTGGTAAGCGACATGGCTGTTCATAACAGTTGCAGAGCCGCCCAGAGCTTTAAATTCAAAAGATATAAGTTAAAAAGTCCCATGAGCCTGTAATTTCACCGACATCCTCACCCTTCAAAACCGAAATACAGTAATGCTTACATTACTGCTTGGCTCCAGAAATAAATAAAGAGGCAGTACTCCCCTGGACGAACTCTTTCACAGGAAGCTCTACCGCTACTAATAACATAAATATTACCACAATCTCACTAAAGACGTATCCCCAAGATACGTTCCTTTCAAAGGCTAATGTTAAATGTTATGAATTTCAAATAATAAATCTCGTAAACAGGCTTAATCGCCACCAAGGATGGTTAACAATAGAAGTGGTTTAAAGAGCCTCCTCGTTTGGTCAAATTACACGTGGAAACGATTAACGGCTTGAAAATAAAATTCTCCTATATATGCTTTTTTCAATTTTGTACCGACTAATAACTGCGAAGAAAAAGTAAAATTTTAAGGAAGTATTACGGCAACATAAAAAAATTCATTAAACTTTTTACATTACTCGAACAGGAAAATTAATTTAAAAATCGTAGAATTTTTGGAGAATAATCCTGTACATCTAATACGGGAGGAAAATAACTGAACATGATTTATAAATTGATAAAAAATCGTAACCAAATAATTAGTATTAGTAAACAGTTGAATTTTTATCGGTTTTGCAATGTGGGAGGGCGTAAGGAAGGCGGCGGTATCGAGCGTGGGTGCGCCGCCCTCCCTAGCTAGCGAAGCCCTACAGTCTAGTTCAGCGTTAGGCCCCGCGCGCACGTTCGTTCGCCACGCGCCATACCGGCGCCTGAAACTACATACCCATATCCCATACTACACGTGTTAAACACACCACGTGATACCGACAACCCGACTAACAACTATCTAAACGAACCTAGCCGCGTTAAAAAAAAATTAAATCTCATTTGTTAGTGTGACAATTATAATAACATGTTCCGTGACAGAGACTAGTGTTTATCGAATAAGTTGGACGAAGGCGGCGGCGCCGTGTCTACGTCATGTTCTACGGTAACGTATTTTGAACAAAATTAATTAATAACAACCATTATTAGAAGAATTTAAATAAACTTTATTTTAATGACGAAATGTGATGAAACTTAAAAAAAACTATATTTACTTTGGGAGATTTTGTCCAAGGAAATTAAATGACGATTTATTAATTTAGTGACTTTTTTACGGTCGTGTCCTGTATATCTATTCAGTATAAGATTTGTTTGAATGCATTCTATAAACCTATATATAAAAAGCTTATAACAATTATTTCTTGAATTGAGTTCTTAGGCCTTCGCGATTGCTACACATTGCAAATGAACAAAAAATCAAAACGTTTCGGATCCTTTACAGGTCCCATGGCCACGGTGCGGTTC